GGCGACGGGCCTCCGGTCCTAGCAGTAAAGTCACGGACGTTAAATCTCAGCGCACGCACGCGCACACACACACACACAGCCCTGACCGTCAGCTGACAACCCTGCAAGATTTTGAAAATCTTTTTCCTGCCACAGCTGACCATGACATGAAATGTTACCATCTGTGAACAGACTGCACGGGGGCTGCAAGAGAAGAGAAACCACTGGAATCAGCAGCAGAGCCACATGCAAAACTGCAAGATTTTGAAAATCTTTTTCCTGCCACAGCTGACCATGACATGAAATGTTACCATCTGTGAACAGACTGCACGGGGGCTGCAAGAGAAGAGAAACCACTGGAATCAGCAGCAGAGCCACATGCAAGCAAAAGAGCCCAAGGCAGAACAGTCCATAGGCCCCCTAGAACAGACGGGCACCACATCCCCTATAGTAGAAGCAAGAAGAACCTTTTCGCTTCTTCCCAGTCTCCTCCTGTCTGTTTCTGTGGGTCATTTTCTCTAATACATATTACAAAGCCACATAGATCTCAACTTTCAGCTCTTCCCCATAGGTATCCATCCAGCTGCCTTTCCCATCCACCTGGGATTGGTGCAAGCTCCAGAGCTGCTTCAGAATGTATTTATGTTTCAGACACCACCCATCCTCTTCCCCATTAGCTCAACAAAGGAGTTTCTTCCCATCAGCTTTGGGGAGGATGAAGCAGAATGAACAACAGTTATGTAACTGTTATCATTAGCTGAAGGCTCTGTGTCTGGAACCTGCCATGCAATGTCTTAGCACTGAAGAATTTCCTCTTCTCTTCCTTCCCCAGACCTGATGCCCTACTAACCACTCAAAGTCTGTTTTATTATTATTACTGTTTTAAAGGTATTTCCAGACAACTGGTCAAAAACTAGGAATGTATCAGAAGGTACTTGAGCCTGCAAATGCCGTAACTCAGGTTCCAGAAGATGATAAAGAGCCTAGCTACAAGAATGAAACATCAAAAGGAAAACTGTTTATTGGGAGAAAATTATGTGGATGAAGACATGGATATGTCTGAAGAACAACTGTACAATTCCTCTTTCTTCAAGACTCCCTTTTGCCTTTTAGTAGACCAATTTGACAAGTAAATTCCCAAGCTGTTTGTTACGTTGGATCTTGCTAGAAAAAGAAATATTAGCTTAGCTAATCTTTGTGTCTAGCCTGGTTAACTAGGTTTAGAATGTATTGCCCAAGAATACGGTACAGAAAGCTGTAGTTAGTGAAATCTAGAGTTGCCAGTGAGATTTTCTTTCTTTATATTTTCTAATAAAACGCCCCTTATTTTGGAACAACATGGTCACAACACTATAAAGATGATGCCATAATTCTATTCCCTATTTTACTTCATCATAATTCAGTTTTCTCAAGGGAACCCCATCTATATTTGTTTTTTCAAAAAACTGATGTTCCAGTGAGTTCAATGAGGATTACTCCAAAATCTGATCTTTTTTGGTAATTTGGAATCCAATCTGCATCCTTGCTGAAAAAAATATAAATGATTAACTGAGAAGAATAACTAATCAAAATAATTTTTGGATTTTGTTTCAGGATCCCATTTAAGCATAAGAAATTCTATCTGCAACCATTTCAGAGTCATTCATTGCTACTTTTAGCAGCAGTACTGCAACTAAACATATTTCAGACAGCAAAATATCAAAAGTGGGTGAAAGATTTCAATCCAGTAAAACCACCACCCTGGATGGGTTTGTAGTGTGATCCTGCGAATACCGACAAGAAACCACAGATGAAAAGATTTGCTCGGTGCACTTATGCCAAAAATTCTCCTTTTTGCATTGTTAATAATAAACACCTTCATTCACATGGTGGAATCCTTATGACCAGGCTAAACTCCACATGGTAGAGCAGACATTGGTGGAAGGCTGAAATATACAGTGTGCGAGAAGGAACTTAAACAGCGTGCAAGAAATATTGAGGGAAATTTTGCTAGCTTAAGCTTTGATGGGTGGAGCAATGTACACAATGATCCAGTAATATGTGCCTGTGCGACAACAGAAAATAGGGTTGCATATCTTTCAGAAACAACCGACACATTGGGAAATGCCCACATAACAGAATATTTACAACAGGAGCGGGAAACCTTTTTTGAGTCGTGGGCCGCTGATCCACGGAAAAAAAAAAATCAATCAGGGGCTGCACACAAGTGAGAAGCCAGAACAAAACCCCTCGCTGACAGTGGCCTCTGAGAAGCAGAAAGATACTCCCCACATTCACCCCATACACAGAGCCTAAGGGGGCCCAGGCAACTAGATTTTGTGTACAGTGCGGGGGGACAACCTGGAGCGCCAACATGGGCTCCACAATGTTGGACATCTGAGCCTCAGGGGCTGGATCCAAGTAAGCCAGGGGCCGCATCCAGGGTTCCCCTGATTTAAAAGAAGTGCCAGTGAAAGCTGTCATGTGTGCAGTACAGACAGTGCTGCAGGCGCAATTAGGCTTGCCAGATAGTTTCACAAAAAATACCGTACATGGCGGGGAAAAAAATTAGTTGAGCAAAAAAAAAAAAAAAAGGAAAAGAAAAATGTAGAGGATCTGCTCAGTGTACTGAAAGCTATTATCCATAGCAGGGCTACTCAATTTTGGAAGCCCTGGGGCCGGGGGCCACGGCGATGCGATACAGCACATGCTGAGGGCCTCAACTTAACTGTGGTTCCATATACATGCAAATATATATGCAAATAGCTTCTTTCACACTGACGGGCATGAATACAAAGATTAAGGCAAGACTACACAACACACAGGCCCCATTTAAGTCAGTTCTGGTGATATTAATAAAATGTAATATTTACCCGATTTCCACCCATATGACAGCACTTTTAATGAGCATTATATTGACTACTTTTTTGTTTTGACTCCCACCCGTGGGTCGCATGTTGAGCCCTGAGTAAACCCAAACCGCACTGCGGGCTGCAAATGGGCTGTTAAGGAGCCCTGATCCATAGCCTTAAAGTAACTTCAGGGTGACAG